TTCTATTCTATTCTATTCTATTCTATTCTATTCTATTCTATTCTATTAAATGACTCCGTTTCATTCCCTGGGCTGTTCCTCAGCCTCCACATCTTGCCTCTTTCCCATCTTAGCTCAAATGTCACCTCGTCCAAGATGCCTTCCCTGGCCACCTTCTTACCAAATCACAGTCTTGTTCTCTGCCAGCATTTCTCATAAATCTCATAAATTTCAGGGTGTCTGCAGCTTAGCACTACTGACATTTTGGGCTGAATAATTCACTGAGGAGTGGTGGAGAGAGAGCTGTGCATTGTAGGGTCTCCCCACTGGATGCCAGTAGTATAGCGCCCCCAAAGCTGTAACAATCAAAAATGTCTCCAGGGATTGCTAAGTGTGGTCTGGGGAGGGGAGGCAAAAATCACCCCTGGTTGAAAACCACGGTGCAATTTCAAATATCTTATGTATTGGTGTCTTATTTTCCTTTTCCCTCTTCCTGTAGAAAATAACCAGACAGCAGTCAACAAAGGCAAGAGCAAGGCCCTGGCTCTTCTGAGGAGTACACTGAGAGGTTCGGGACAGAGCAGCCTGTCAGTGGGTGGGGAGATAGGGGGTTGGGTGTAGCAGACCTGAGCAAATCAAAGGTCTCAGTGTCCAGTTGGGTTTCAGGTGAGTAGGTCAAGGGGTAAGCGGATGCCCCTGAAGCTCAGGGGAGAGGTCTGAGGCATCGGGAACAGGAGGAGGCAGGCCTCAATCATTCCAGCACTCTCCCCCACTTCTCCACGTTGTCTGTTCTTTCTTTCATCTTTTAGCCAAAGTAGCCATCGACTTGGACCTGAATTTGAATTCATTTGCTGAATGGTGGAAATAGTGTTCCTGGAAGCTTTCATTGTCAGCCAGACTCTTCTGTTGAATATTGCCTGGCTCCTGTGTTGGCTTAGACCCAGCTTTGGTTCCATCATCTGCTTGCTAAACTTCCCTAGGCTGGATTAGGTTAGCCGTGTCCTGGAGACTCCCAGAGAAAACAGCCTGGCCTAATGGTTAAGCACCTAGGACTTTACTATTGATCCTTCCCTCCCCTGCTATTCTAGCTCTGCCATAGCAGGCAAGTTCCTTGTCTCCTTGTGGGGTCCCTCCTCCAGCCGAGGATACTTGTGGCACCTACCTCCTATGGTTAGTAAAGGGGGAGAGGTCCTGCACATAGGGGCTGGTCTGTAGTAAAAGCCCCAAACTTGCTTGTAGTTTTCAGTCTCAGCTCCACCTGACCTCTTTGTGGCTTTAACACAATTCATCTATTTCCAATTAGCACTCTGCTGATTGTCCCACTGCTTGCGGTACCTCATTGTGGGCTTCTAGTGTTCCTCCCCGCCTTTCTCCCCCCATGGCCCCGCTTTAAAGCTGGTCCTCTTCAGGGTCCTTGCATGTTTTTTTCTTATGCAACCCATTTTCATAGCTGAATTACTGTATTGACATGGTTGCCATTTAATGAGCAAAAAATCCACGTGTTTTTTTTTTTAAGATTTTGAGGTGGGGGGAGAGGGGAAGAGAGAGAGTGTGTGCGGGCGAGCTCGCACAAGCAGGGGGAGGGGCAGAGGGAGGGGCAGAGGGAGAAGCAGGCTCCCGGTTGAGCAGGGAGCCAGACAAGTTGGGGCTCAATTCCAGGACTCTGGGATCATGATCTGAGCTGAAGGCAGATGCTTAACTGAGCCTCCCAAGCACCCCAAATGCATGTTCTTTAAATTAAATTGCCTTATGGTTTTTTTAAATGATTTTATC